CAAAAACAACAACAACAGAAACAACAACGGCAATACCGACGCGTTAACAAAGACAAATAAAAATCGTTCTTTTAGTCACATGTGTACGTACGTAATTAAAAGCGTAAACGTACTAGACAGACATACATTCACATAAACTCATAAAAACACAATAAAATGGGCAGATATAAACACACACACACACACACACACACACACAAGAGATTGCACAAGCAAGGAAACTTGACTGTTCACGAATGCTGAGGTTGTCTGCTTGAATGTGTGCTGTGCAGTTTGTATAGTCGCATCCTAAACATCAGTTAACTACTCAACTTCCCACCCCCTCGCTCGCTCTTTCACTCATTTTGCATCTTCCCAACCATTTCTTTACTCATTCACTCATTATTTTACGTTCACCTGTTCATCCACTCAAATATTTACTAATTATTTCTGCTGATCTATTCATTCACTCGCTCACTCATTCACATGTTTAATCTCAACAAAATTCAATTGCTCATTTTTTGCTCAATTATTCACTCAACCATCCGTTCATTCACTGAATAATTCATTCACTGAATCATTCATTCACTGAATCATTCCTTCATGCACCTAATCATTCTTTTCTTTACTTAAGCTTTCATTTATTAAATTAATCATTCCTTCATTTCGTTAATCATTCGATCATTCACTCAATCATTTATTCATTCACTTAATCATTAGTTCATTCACTCAATCATTCACCCAAAAGTTGGATGCACACACACGCACGCACGCTCTTCTCATTCAAGTTATGTTACGTCGGTCTGCTTGCCTGCTTGCCTTTCTTCCTTCGTTTGTTTGTTTTTCAAGTTAAAAATCGTCTGGAAAATAGATTAGATATAAAATTTCCATTACTGAAAATACGTCTCATTTTACAAAAAATATATCAGCCTACACACATGCATACCCGCATACATTATATAGGTACATTCATTTAGACACTTGTGTATCTAAATATTTGTGTATCCAAATTATTGTGTACCTAAATATTTGTGTATCCAAATGATTGTGTCTCTAAATATGTGTGTATCTAAATCCCAATATTCAAACAGAGAGAGAGAGAGAGAGAGAAAAGAGAGAGAGAGAGAGAGAGGGAGGGAGGGAGGGGGGCATGCAACCTGCTGAAATGGAGAAAAATGAAAAAACAATAGTGAAGTATCTCATGAAATCTGCTGGAACTTTACTTTGGTGCAAGTGGAAGGATTCAACGGTGTTCAATGTTTTGGAGTTTGATTTCATTAATTTAGAACAACACTTGTAAACTATCAATCAAACTCTTGCATATTGAAAAACGAGTAAAAAATGCACCATCATCATCATTCTCGTCATCGTCGTATGTCGTTTAATATTCATTCATTCATTCAATCATTCATTCATTCAATCATTCATTCATTCAATCATTCATTCATTCAATCATTCATTCATTCAATCATTCATTCATTCAATCATTCATTCATTCAATCATTCATTCCTTCATTTATTCATTCAATCATTTATTTACTCATTCATTCCTTTATTACTTTAGCTAAACTTTTCATTCTTTTCTTTATTGATTCATTCATCAAGGTTCACCCCTTCACATCATCATCCTCATCCTCTTCATCACCACTAACATCATTTTCATCACCATCATCATCACCGTCGTCATCACCATCATCAATTTCATCACCCTCACCATCATTAACAACAACGTTGTCTTGCATTTTTGATGTCGATAGAGTTTTGGTTTAGTTTCATAATTATAGGTAGAAAAAGAATTGTGCTTTGAAAGAATCTGGAGTCATGTAGACAGTTCGTGTAATGTAGGCATAAATTTTCATCATCATCGTCACCATTATCATCATCATTACCATCATCATCGTCCTCATTATTATCATCATCATCATTATTTATTATAAGTCATAATCAAACAACCATTCGTCCTTACGGCCAGTGAATACACCATTTATATTAATNNNCTCCGCAGTTTTCCNCCAGCTTTCCCCA